CAAAACCCCAAAACCCCAAAACCCCAAAACCCCAAAACCCCTTTTTAATTAAGAAAAATTGAAAAATGGGCTCATGATGAAGTGATAAGAAAGTTCAACTTTATGAAACAAGGTTTGATGTTGACAAGAAAACTTCTGTAAGTGTCCTTGTTCTTGTATTGTTTGCTTATTTGTTAATTTTTAGTCCAATATTGTCAAAAAGGGAGAGGTTAGTCAATTCTCTCAAAAATTTCAAGAACCAGAAGTAGAGGGTTATATTCACCAACATGAGAGGCAGCAAGAATACTTATTTTTCAAGAGTATTGCTAGAAAAGAACCTTCTGAGTTCCCTTGACAAGTTGTTGAATGTAGGCTATTTGAAGTTTATTCTTAGCAAATATTCCAACTAGAGAGAACGCTAAGACAAAACCTCGAAATATGAAGAAACAGGATGAAGATGTTTCAACCAGAGTTGATACAAAGGAGAAGAAAGAATATCAGGAATCTGAACCAATTATTGAAGAATTTGATCTTTCTAATTCTAACGAAGAGTCTATACAACCTGTTCATGGGCAAAGTAGGATTTAGTTATAATTTTGAATAGTTAAGACATTTTCGTTTGGTGATTTTTTATTCTAAAACCTAATTCCAATAAATCATAGCTTTGGTAACCTCATCTGCTTCTATTTTAGATCAATCTAGCCATATCTAAATTCCCATAGAGACCAGGACGTCTTTAGAGACAAAATTTAGTGAGAGATTATCTTTATGTGTGACTTTAATCCGTTCTCAAAATCACTCTTTACAAATTAGGTCTAGCGAAACCCTATTGCAGGGGTGTTTCGTTGACTCTATGAAGTTGGAAAATCTAACTCTATTTTTTATTGAATGCAAGGATAGGGCTTCAGTCAGATTGACAGCTCAATCTGGGAAACCCTAAGTTTTTACCTTCTGTTATATGAGCCGCTTCTAACAACTTATATTCAGTGTTCCATTCAATTCTATTATTTAAATTTAGCATTCTTTAAAGTAGCAAGTCTACTTATTTTCCTGAGTACTATCCAGCAAGGGGAAATCAAATAAGGATCAAAATTTATCTTCTCAACTTGAATAAATTTGTTAGTTTAGACCATCATCGCATATCAAAAAGCCAATTTAAAGGAATTCAAGCCAAGCTTTGTTTTAAACATAAAATTTTAATTATTAATTTGTTGTTGCTGATGAACTAGGTGAAATACAGATTTAGATAATGTAAAACAACATAAGCTTAAAGGAGACAAAGTGGGAGAAAAGGTAGAAGTTAAGAGAAAAAACAAGAAATCTCAATTCAAATCAAGAAATGGCAGTAAAGAACAATTTGGGATAAAACCAAAATCAAGAAACAATATGATTTCAAGACATCAAACAGATCCAGGAAGCGATGATATTTTTAAAGCCAGGCAGAAAGGTCAGTTTGATTCTAGAATGCTTTCTCCATTCAGAATGAATAACACATCTATCCAGGACACCTCTCCTACCCCAATCAGAACAAACAACGACCAATATTGCCTTCCTTCAAAAGTAACGTTTATCCCATATTAACTTAATTCAACTCAAAATTTCAAAATTGGGGTTTTGGGGTTTTGGGGTTTTGGGGTTTTGGGG